TACTGCATTTGAGTACGGCGTAAGATGTGTTTCTCAATAATGTTTCTATTCGGAAACAACGTTTATCCCATCTTGTGCTGAACAAAGACATGGACTACAATTGTCCCGAATTATCCTACCAGAGACGCAGCAATGCCATATTCGAGCAAAGTACGCGCCCACCCAATCTCTGGGGTATCGAGTGAAGGTGGCCAGCAGGCATTAAAAACTGGTCGAGCAAAATCTTCCCCTGGTCAACTATGACCATATCAAGCCACATAACAAATTTTTTGTTTCTTTTCAAATGCACTGAAAGACCCGTTCTGGACTGTCCGGTGGGCGGCGCCAGCAAACGATGTCACCAGGCATTCCCCTTCCTGCCTTTTTAATCACAGTGACAGGCGGATAGAGGATGGGCGCGTCAATGACACAATCGTTCCCAGGCTCCGTCCACCCGACATTTGTCTCTACGCCTAAACTACAATTTCCTGTTGAAAATCATAAGCAGTTCAGACTGATTATCCTCCTTTTCATTTTTCTAGCTTTCATCGCCTTCCCTAGAGAAATAAAAGAACAGAAATCGTGGTAGAGATAAGTACCGCACGCTTCAGGAAGGCAAAGAACCTGTGCAGCAGTCAGAACTCATTCTTATACTGAAATGCTTCTCAGTAATGCTGCCAACAGCATTCTGTGACAACATGGATCTAGGAATATTCAGATACAACACTTGACTATGAATGGACTGGGAAGCCACAAATCCCGTCATGAAAAGGTCTACGGTAGAAGTGATTCAGTGACTCAAAGTACGTGAGTCAGCGTTGAGGATCTGAGTCAAAACCAACACGAATAGATAAGGTGGTCCCGTAACGGTACGTTCGTTTTGTTGCAGTTTTACGATGGGATCTCAACAAGATCTGAACAGAGTAACAATGAATAGGAGCTTTCGAAGTACAGCAAATCATGAATTGTTTTGGGGCCAAAAAGACATGGAAAGTTGAAAAGTCCTAAGAAGTTGAATCTATCTCGAAAACCCGGAACTAACCACAGACACGCCCACCCCATCTTCGTGATATAGTGTGGTTGGTGCCTTAAGCACGGATTCAGTCGGCCTGATCACGAATCCACTTTTCGACGCCGGTCCCAGTGTGGTTCAGGAAAATGCAGGAAGTAGAAGTGAGTACCATGCGTGATTATACTCTATTACCTAGCCCATTGGCCTGCATCTACAAGTGCGCGTTCATACTTTTAATCGCTGCGGGTACTGTGGCGTAACCGAGGGAGGGGCTGGGTTTGGTGCGGCGCTAGCCGGTTGTTCACC